TGTTGTTGTTGTTGTTGTTGTTGTTGTTGTTGCTGCTGCTGTTGTTGCTGGCGCTCTTGGCTGGCCTCGAGGCGAGCTCGATGCTGCAACGTATCAGCGTGACGCCGCCATTCGGTGATGGTCGTGTACGTTCTCGTCGGTATGTTCCCGTCGCAGATGGAACAGGCGTAACGAGATTGAACGAGGCGCAGTGCACCGCGACGCTGCTGATTGCCGAGATAGCAGGAGCGTTGGTGAGCAAGCAGCGTCGATTCCTGCGGATAAGCCCGACCGCATCGGCGACACACCAGGCACAGCTCCGTCTCGACCTCGCGACAGTGCTGTGGCGGCCCGTTCTCGTCGAAGCCGCACGGTGGCGTCGGCAATCGCACCGTCTCCAACCCCGGATGGTTCGGGTCTTGCTGCAGGAACGCCTGCATCAAAGAGCGCGGCACCTGGACCTGGCTGCCTCCTTCCACGTGCAACGACATCAGCCCATTCCCGTGCATGCTGCCGCTCAAACCTGGAGCCGCTACTGGAAACAAGCAAACAGATCGACCCCGTTAGCAGCTTTCTTTTCTCTCGTCGCATTCTACTGTACTACGCGTGTACGAATTTTGGCAAATTCTTTGGTCAGCTTTACGGATACGCGATACACATCCATCCACAATCCAATTACCACTCGATATATCCATCGATACATTAGCTCGTTACAATACAAGCTGGACCTCGTTTGTTTGATCCTCTCGAAGGTTAACCAGCTCGCAAAGTTGAATTTCACAGTCGTATAATAGAAGCTGGCATTGCCTCGATATCTATATATCATTTCTCGTTCAAACTACCGCTTTAAATAAACGGTAGTTTGAACGAGAAATTTATCTTAAATCCTACGGATTTTTGCACTAAATCTTCAGTGAAATATAGAAATCCGCGAAACCGAGTTGCGAGTGTATCGAGACCGACGCTTAGTAGCGCGTTATTAGAAGCCAAATCGATCAACGTTTTCTTTTTCCAAAGATTTTGTAGTTTCATTTCACTTAGGTCAGTCTAGCTTTGGATCACTCGAACTTGTCATTTCGTAACCTGTCGTACCGTGATCGCCAACTACCGAAGCAATTCTACTATCGAACGAGTCTCCAAACGCGGACAGAGCACAGCCACGGCGGTTATAATTGATTTGTGCCGACTTAGTTGTCATAATAACGTCAACGATGTAACCAGCGGGGAATTTATATGGAACCTGTTTTTGCTTCTACGAGACAGGTAAATTGGTAGTTATTAGCCTGGCCGCGGGGCGACGCGCATTGACGGGATAATTCCTCCGCAACCGCCTCCAGAAAGGAGCTCAGTGTCACTCCCTACCGACTCGCCCAACCGTGACATCATCTATCCGCGGATAATTTCAATTAGAAAATTAGAAACAAATTATCGTTGATCCGAGTCGTAATTTTCTCGAACAATAATCTCTAATTTTTACATCTTCTGATCGTGTGTAGATTTGGATCGAATGTAGATGTATCTACATATCCTTTAATTAGCCAAATTCGATTAGGAACGACATGTCGAATGTCGAGAAGGGAACTTTTCAGAACTTGTGTTTCAAAATCACAAGGAAAGTATACCTGTGACGATAATAAAATAAAATCAATTAATTTATCGAATACTAGCTATACAAAGCTATGGCCACTTACTCGTTTTGGCAAAAACAAAGGTGAAAATTTATTCGAAACAAAGTAGGAAGTTGATCGTCCTAAAATTGATTGTATTCCTTGCTTGTCAGAACGATCGCACAAAATATTGCGCAGAACAAGACTTTGTCTAAAAAAGTTTGGAGCAACATGGAGTACTTACACTTTGTTTTGTGCTTTTGAGGAAGACACTTAATTTAATTAAAAAACAAAAAGACAGCAATGATCGTTGTAAGGAACAAAGTGAAGATAAAAAGAAACAGTGCAATTTTACTGATACAAAAGTATCTTTAAAAAACTGTGCCATTTCAGATCAAACGAATAATTCTTGTAATATGAAGAATTGCCACAATACAAAGTACAAGGAAATAGACTATGGTTTGTTAAAATCAGATTTAGATGATTTATTTCCTAAGTTGCAAAACTGATGACACATTATATATTCAAAGCTCCAAAGCATAAGTTATGCAAAAATGTAGAAACAAAGTTAAATTGAGTACCAAATAAATAAATATTTAGAGCAAGCAAATATTCCTTCTGTTCTGACAAATATTTAAACAATGAAACTTCAGTGCTCCTATACGAGAAGAAGAATTTACAGAGAAAGATCTTTCTTTTGTACGTACATCTGTGAATGTCAAGTCTTACTCAGACGAAATTACTCAGATAAATAAGTCAAAGAACGCATATATTGCAAGTACTTGTAAACCAACGTCAATCAATTAATTACGTTTGAAACGGGATTCTCACTTGTTACTTAGCAGCGTAGTCAATTATTTACGCTATTCCTGCACTAAGGATTTCTCGAGTTCCTCTCTTTCTCGCTGGATGCAAAGCAGTGCTTGCAACGTAATATACGTAAGCAAGAGTATGGAAATTTCATCGTGTCGAAATTTAACTGATTCAAACAACTCTACTCATCCCAAGTTGAAGACTCGCGAGCGTCTCGGCCGAGCCATTTTTCAAGAAAATATAGCAAGGTGTGGCAATGCGTTTCAACGCGAGATTCCCATTCGAGCGATCCCGAAGAGACGTTCGAACGATCCTCTGAGCGATCTCGGATCTCGTGGTCGAGGAGGAGGAGGAGGAGGAGGACGCGTTGTTCGATGTCGATTAGGCGGGTTGACAGGTTTACGCAGTGACGCGTATGGGTATATCGCGTATCGTGTATCAGACGAGGAGTCGTTACGAGACAGGAAGTGTTAATGATACCCCTGCTCATTCGCTGGACGCTCGCCTGTAATTATCGAGGCTTGGTGGGGCGCGAGCAAGCCTGGACGAGAGAGCGGAATACCAGGCAGGATATCATCTCTGTCCCTCTCCCTTTTAGTCCGTCTGTTCCGCGTCAACGTGGAATTGATAGTTATTAGAGTCGAAGACCATGCTCGCCGAGAGCCACACTGCCAACGTGGCATTCCCTTCTTTTAATCTGAGAACCTCTGCCATGCGAAGTGTGGATTTAGCCCTGTTTGGTTAACGCTTCTACCGTCTTCTCCTCCTCCTCCTCCTTCTCTTTTTTTTCGTTCATTCGAAAGCTGCCTTTTCTCGATCGTTGGCGATTCGCGGCCCTCGTGGATTATGGTCTCGCGCGTCGAACGCGCGCCCGAATAATCCGCGTTTTTATGTCCTTGAACTTTCGAAAGAACCTTTCTTGGAAGAAGTTTGCGTTATAAAGAAGGGAGAAAATTGTTACGGATTAACGCGGTATTATCCGCTAGGGTGTACACGTAGTGTACAGGAGACGACGTTGAGAAATTTTGGTGAGAATTTGCGAGAGCTTCATTTTCATTCTGGCGAGTGTTTCGTTTGGATATGATTAGTTTATATTAAATCCGCGAGCAAAGAAGAAAGAAAGATTCGTTTCGCCTTTCAGATATCACAACGAACGATTCATTTTGAATATTATTATAATATAAATATATTAAGTACATTCTCTACACGCACGTGTTTGAATAAACGTTTTACGTAGATAGTTTGACACTTGAAGGCATGCGAGCGTCGATCGCGATTAATTTCTAATCTAGAGAGTATCTAGAGAATTCTGGGGGTATACACTCGAGTAACGGAGGAGTGGTGTTATTTCCTTTAAAGAATCGGAATTCGATCTCGCGACGAAGAAGGAGATCACGCGAGTAATCGCACGACGACCGGAACCGTCCAGATGTCGACGATCGCTGCTCCCGTCTCCGTGAATTAAGCGTAACAATTTCGTGGAACGCGCAAGCAGTCGCGCGTCCACCGGGGGCTTCAATCTCGCGGCGACTAACGCGACTTAAAACGCTTCCTCTCGGAACAATCTTCGCCGAAACGATCTCCTCGTCGATGATAATACACGTCCGCGCGCTCGTCTCTTCCAAAACTAGCAACAACTTCTTATTTAATAACTGAGATCGGTAGGAAACGAATTCTAATTTCCGTATCTCGAGTCAGTTGTCTCATCCAGCAAGGTAATTGCAAACTAACAGTCTATTTTGCAGTTGCATAATTTTATTCTTCTTTAAGAGTATCTCCGTACCGATAGCTTTCTTTCACATTCTTGTTTCGTATTTTTATGTTCATTTGTACTTCAATTATAAACCATAGACGAAAATGAGTATACGATGAAAATAAGATCCTATAATATTTTAATTATATTAGAATCTTCTAGTCCGAGTCAGTAGAATCTTCGTGTTCTTGAACACTGTTGATGAATTTAATTAAAAATTTTCGTTGAAAACTATAATTAACCAATTATGTACATCATATCGTGTATAATGTATGTAGTCGTTATTAAATCAACATTATTGATCAAATTTTGATGAATCATCACGTAACTTGTGCGACGTTCTTTTTTCTTATTTTTCCTTTATAAAATATACTGGAATACTTAAAAAGAAACTTTACACGAAAATATTAGGCCAAAAAGTAACCATGTTCTTTTGTGTGCAGATGCAAATTTTCTATAAGAAACAAAAACTTTATTAATACATTGACCATTTTGTTCGATTACCTTTTGCCTCCTCTTTCAGTCACCTTTATCATTCCGCGTTCAAAAATGTTTCTATCTTTTTCTCGACAGAAAAATGTTCCAAAACTAGAATTTGATATCTTCGTCAGTAGTGAAATTTGGCAAATCAATTCTGATACTATTGCAATTTGAAGGCTTCTTCGCATACACATTAGATAATTTTTTATAAGATTTTTTTCCCTTGAATTGCTAACAAAATCGTGCATTCTTCTCGTCAATCAGGTATCAGATTACACAATGAATTTGTGGTCTAAAATAAAGTCTCAGGATATACGTACATGTCCA